TTAAAAAATTTGGCTCTCAAAAGAAATTTCCATCGTTGTGCTGTTGATATTTGGCTCTGTTGACTAATGAGTTTGCCGACCACTGACCTAGACCAAGCATATCCAACTTGCAGCCTGCGGGCCACATGTGGTCCTCAATGAATATGTTTTTGGCCCAGCCAATATAATGGTATGTAGGAAACGTTCTAATAAATATTTCTTAGTTTTTACAATATCCTGTAATACATAATTATTAGTAACAAGGTCTGGTGCATGAAATTCGTGCACGGGGGTTGAATCCCTCAGTCCAGCCTGCACACTCTGTAATCTGGGACCCCTCAAGGGATGTACAGCTGCCCATTTAGGACCAATCCCAGTAGGATCAGGCCTAAACGGGCAGTCGGACTTCCTCTCACAATCCAGGACTGCTGGCTCCCAACCGCTCACCAGCCTCTGCCTAATTGCCCAAACCACTTTTGCCTGCTAGCCTGATCACCCCCTAACCACTCCCCTGCCAGTCTGATTGTTGCCTAACTGCTCCCCTGCCAGCCTGATTGCCCCTTCCCTGCAGGCCTGGTCACCCCTAACTGCACTTCCCTGAAGGCGTGGTCCCCTCCCAATTGCCTTCCCCTGCAGATCTGGTCCCCCCAACTGCCCTTCCCTGCAGGCCCAGTCGCCCCTAACTGCCCTCCCTTGCAGGCCTGGTCCCTCCCAACTGCTCTCCCCTGCTGGCCATCGTGTGGCAGCCATCTTGTCCACATGAGGGCAACCATCTAGTGTGTTGGAGTGATGTTCAATTTGCATATTACTCTTTTATTAGATAGGATGAACTATGTTCGCCAATGACTGATTACTATAACCGTGTTGCATTCATTTCCTTTACACACCTTACTCACATGCACATCATTTCTATCCACTAATATCAGCAGCAAATATTTTAGCAGCCAATTGCCACATCATTAGTCTTGGACTGACTTGCATGATGTACACAACAGGAAATATTTTGCTTTGTGAGAACAAGACAAATAGGTTTATTTGCGTTACTCTTATTAATTTGTGCAGTTATTCAGTGTCTGGTAAGTTAATGTTCAAGAAAAAATATTATTTTATTAAAATGTTCTATTTTATGTTAATGATTCCTCATTTATTTCAGCCCTTTGTATTCAGCATGTCTCTATCGAAAAAATAAATTTTTTATGAAAATTGAAGCTTTTGTTTTTTTGTGGCCCTCATAAACTTAAACCGTGTTTCTTTTGGCCCGTGTTAGCCTTTGAGTTTGACATGCTTAACCTAGAGAGTGAATATAAACAGATGAGAGAAGGGGTTCAAAAATAAGCCACAGATGGAGGAAAATCAGGTAAATGTGCTGTACTGCAAGCCTGATTCAGAGATCAGGACTGATTCACTGCACCACATGAAATGAGGGTTGAAAAGTGCTATTGACTCATACTACTTAACACAGTGTTTCCCAACCTTCTCTCATGATGAGAATCACCTGGTGGAGTTGTTAAAACACAGATTCCTGAATCCCAACTAAGAAGTGCTAAACTAGAATTTTTGGGAACATATAGGTAAAATTGTATACTTAACTAGTGCTCTAAGACAGATTTTATATACAGAGCACTAAGTTAGGTATGCAATTTTACCTATATGTTCTCAAAAATTCTAGTTTAGCACTTCTTAGTTGGGATTCAGGAATCTGTGTTTTAACAACTCCACCAGGTGATTCTCATCATGAGAGAAGGTTGGGAAACACTGACTTAACAAAAGGAAGATAATTCAATCAAAAAATGGGCAAAGACCTAATAGACACTTTTCAAAAGAGGACATAAGGAAGGCCAAGAGACATATGAAAACATGATCAAAGTCACTCATCATCCAAGAGATGCAATAAAACAATGACGTACCAGCTCACACCTGTCAGAATGGCTATCATCAACAAATCAACAAACGACAAGTGCTGGCGAGGATGCGGAGAAAAAGGAATCCTCGTACACTCCTGGTGGGAATGCAGACTGGTGCAACCACTGTGGAGAATAGTATGGAGCTTTCTCAAAAAGTTAAAAATGGTCCTAGTTAGTTTGGTTCAATGGATAGAGTATCAGCCTGCGGACTGAAGGGTCCCAGGTTTGATTCCAACCAAGGGCAAATGCCCAGGCTATGGGCTCAATCCCCAGTTGGGGTGAGGGGGAGGGTCTCTCTCATCATTGATGTTTCTATCTCAACCTCTCCCTTCCTCTCTGAAATCAATAAAGACATATATATATAGTTAAATATATTATAGAACTCCCATTTGATCCAGTGATCCCACTTCTAGGAATATATCCCAAGAAACCAGAAATACCAATCAGAAAGGATATATGCACCCCTATGTTCATAGCGGCACAATTCACCATAGCTAAGATTTGGAAACAGCCTAAGTGTCAATCAGCAGATAAGTGGATTAGAAAACTGTAGTACATCTACACAATGGAATACTACACTGCTGTAAAAAAGAAGGAACTCTTACCATTTGCAATATCATGAATGGACCTGGAGAGCATCATGCTAAATGAAATAAGCAAGTCAGAGAAAGATAAATATCACATGATCTCACTCATTTGTGGAATATAATGAACAACATAAACTGAGGGGGGGGAAATAGAGCCAGAAGAGGGAAAATATTCTAGAAGCAATCCTATCATTTGCAGATTTTTAATATTTCCTACAACTTTTGTGATATTCAGTTAGTACAGTTTTAGTAATATTATTATACTTAAAATTCCTTTATTCTTGAAATATTAATGTTTATTGCATGTAATATCATATTTAAAATAGTTTTTCTTGAGATATTTAAAAAGAGTGCCTATTGGAATTAATGCTGTGGAGGCCAGTAATAACCTTGAGAAAGGTTACTCAGTGGAGTAGAGTCAAGAAAGAATGGGAGGAGGTAAAATTGGAGAGAGTAGGTAGAAATTTCTTCAAGAATTTTTGGTGTGTGTCTTTTATAAATGAATGGAAGGAAATGGGGCAATAGCTACAGGGGGCATGTGGTTTAAAAGAGATCTCCTCTCTCCCCCAAGCTGCTATGTATATAAGTAGCTTGTATATATGCTGATGGAAATGATCCAATAAAGAGAGGGTAAAATGATGATACAAAAGAGAATAGACAGTTGAAACTGGAAATATTTAATTTGGGGAAGGTGATATAGAGGCAACTAGTGAGGTGAATAGAGTTTTGAAGATTCCAGGTAAGTCTTAGGGAAGAAAGTAGAGACTGAAGAGATATGACTGAGACAGAATGGGGAATGGGTGGGAATATCAAGGGAAGGATGATCTCCAAATGGAAGAGCAGGCCCAATGGAAGGGAGGAAGAGGGAATAAAGTTATAGGAAGCTGTGATGAGAGGGATGTTGGTTTCTAAGATTTCAAAGATGAAGCCTTTTCCAGAGATGACAAGGTTACAAGGATCTCTCTTAAGTAGGTGAGAAAATAAAGTTACTCCACATGAATATATTTTTTTTAATATTTTTTATTGATTTTTTTACAGAGAGGAAGGGAGAGAAATAGAGAGCTAGAAATGTCGATGAGAGAGAAACATCGACCAGCTGCCTCTTGCACACCCCCTACTGGGGATGTGCCCGCAACCAATGTACATGCCCTTGACCGGAATCGAACCCGGGACCTTTCAGTCTGCAGACCGATGCTCTACCATTGAGCCAAACCGGTTTCAGCAATGAATATTAAATGTTGGGCCAAATGCCAGTTGCTGGGTTTGGATATAAGGGAGTGGTCCGGGAGGCCCACAGATGACCACAGCAAGGACAGGTAAAAGGAGGTAGAGCTGGAGGAGATGAGCATGGGAGGCAGAGGGCTCCGCTCTGGACACCACTGTGTGAGGTAGTGAGCTTCCTGTCCCTGAAAGGGTCAAGACACTGGTGAGTCTTGAGGATTTTAAAAAATAAGTCTTAAATTAAAATTTTTAGGTTTATCTGTAGGAAACTATGAAAAGAGAACTTTTAAATCCTTAAAGTTTGATACTATGATAATCAGATTTTCTGTATACATTAGGATTTTAATTTAATCCATAAAAATTATTTTTTTCAGGAGAGCGAATTTTACCTTGCTCAGAATCAGTAACAATTTGATACATCATTCTTTTCTAATTTTCTCCAAAGCCTTCCATTCTGGCCACTTATATGCAGGCATGTAAGAAATTACTGGATTAAGTTATGTATTAAAATTCCATGTTCTTGAGTTTAATGTAAAGAAATCTTTTTAGCACCATTCAATATAAATAATGTCTTGCTCTATAGTTAGGACTCATGAAATAAACATCCTCTGAATGTGGGTAATCCATCATAACAGGGCCTTATTTTTTTAATATTCCAGACTGGTTCTTGTCATTCTCTGAGATTATCAATGAGGAGGAGGTCACCTATAATGGCTCAATTTAACAAATACAATCAGTATAAGTAAAAGAAACATTAATGTACATCTATATATATAAAAGCCTAATATGCCAAGTGTTCCCTCGGGAGTTTGACCAACCAGGAGTTGGGTCATTCTCTATGACATGTGCTGACCACCAGGGGGTGGCACGGAACGAATGAAGGCTCTGGTCGGCAGCGGCTAGGGACCCTATCCATGCACCAATGTCATGCACTGGGCCTCTAGTTAACTATTTAAAAAATATCAAACAGAAATAGTTTTTAGACTCTCCAGTGCTTTTGGGTCATTTTTACCCTTGCCCTTGATTTCAGAGGAACAATAAAACCCAAATATACTTGGAATAGATTGATACAGCTTAAAAATCGCACAGCATATTATCTTTTATTCAACACAGATTTTTTTTCATTTTAGTATAATTTTTCCCCTTACTCCCCAGCAATTCCATAAATATAATAATCATAAAGCCTTATAGATATTTGCTAAAAAATTTTATTATATTTACTGAGAATATAATGTTGTTCCACAGTAAAATGATCTTAACTTCCTAATGATTATAAAACTCTTTTCATTTAAAAGATTTTGGTTCTCTATATTAAATTACACATTATAAAAAATCAATGATAAGTTAAACTCTTTAAAAAGAAACATTTTTTAAAAGGCACATACTAAAATACTGCATACTGATCAAATCCAACATAACCATTTCACACAGTGTCCACACTTAAACAACTGCTGTGCCAAAGATGGCATCTGTGCAGGTGGGGAGGCAGCACTACATTGCAGTGTACAGCACGCTCTTGGGATAATTTGGTTTTGATGTCTAAGATAAAGCATGTTTTTTCTAACTTTGAAAACATACAAAATAATTTAAAAATTACTTTTCATATAAACATTAAAATACATTGGAATGAAAAAGGTCATATTATATACTAGGAGATAATTAAAATATCCAAGCTCTCTCTCTCTTTTTAACATATATATATATATATATATATATATATATATATATATATATATATTTTATTGATTCTTTACAGAGAGGAAGGGAGAGGGAGAGAGTGTTAGAAATATCAATGAGAGAGAAACATCAATCAGCTGTCTCCTGCACACCCCCTACTGGGGATATGCCCGCAACCAAGGTACATGCCCTTGACTGGAATCGAACCTGGGACCCTTCAGTCCGCAGGCCGATGCTCTATCCACTGAACCAAAAACGGTCAGGACCCAAGCTCTCTCTTAATAATACTGTAGGGTTCAGTCTATGATAGCTATAATTTTCAGGTTAAAATAAACTGGCAAGAGACCAAACTGACAAAATGCAAATTTGCCAAGCACCTGCAGTGCCTGCTCAATCTTGCACTTCTCAAACCACAATACGTTATTAACAGCTACATCAGAAGTTACTATTAAAGGGATATCTAATCTCTTTACTTAACTTATGGTTAACAAGTTCCCATTCTCCCTTCCACACATAGCTCATGTTAACATACAGAGAAGTTCTTAGTTAACAGAGAATCCAAGAAACTATAGTAGATTCTAAATGTATGGTTTTCCTAGTTAGTAAAATGATAGTATCATTTTTCTAATTTACATTTAGCACATCCTCATAATAGAGTTAAGGCAAAGTCTATACAAGACAGCAGGATGAAATAAAAACCTTTGGTCACCACTTCATCTGAGTCCTACATTCAGGTACATTAGGGCTCAGAAATCCATGTGGAATTCCAGATGGAATTTTAAGTGAGTATCACACAGTCACAACCATGATGCTGACAGCCTTTGGTAAATCCGAGGTATGAAATTTGCTGAGCCTGAATCAAACATAGTCCTTTCTAATTTAAGTCTTTAGGTTAAATCTAAAAGATGAACAATAATACTTTCAGTGTGAATTTTTTTAAGGTAACTCATTGTTCAAGTTTTAAGATTGATGACCCCCAGAACTCTGATTTTAGCCTGAAAAAAAATCTTAAAATATCTACTTAAACAAGTGCAATTGAAAGTTATTTTGTATGTTTATAATTGTATAACAAAATATAATTTTTTACACACCCTCAGAATTATAGAATACTTTGAATAGCTAACTTTGTGCTAGAAACATTGACCAGAGATGTTTGGGGCTATGTTTGGCATTAAGTTTTCATTTGGTGATCATTTTCGTGTAAGTTGCATAATTTAAAGCCTTATGTGCTTACCAAAATTATATACCTCTAAGTAGATATTTGAACTAAAAAATTGCTTTATGGGTGAGTTTTTCCTCCTCAGATATATATAAAAAAATGTAACTTACATAATACTGCCGGATCTATACATTTCCTCTTGTGTTATATATATTTTAAGAGAAAAAATAATTTAGTAAGAAACATGAAATTTAGCACCAATCTTGATCCAATCTTTCTTTGGTAGGAAAAAAAAAAGGGGGGGGGGCACCAAATTCACAGTCTAGGGTCAAAATACAGCACTTTTGCCAATAAGCCCCGAGTCCTTAAAGTAATATGCCAATATAGGCTGAATCATGAAACATACATTTGCCCGTTGCTTTCTAGCAATTAGTACACACTGTAGAAGATTATACTGAGGGAAGATTGCAGTAGAAAGTATTTGTGTTCACTCACATTTAAAATAGTTTTTTAAATATATTTTATTGATTTTCCACAGAGAGGAAGGGAGAGGGATAGAGAGCTAGAAATGTCAATAAGAGAGAAACATCAACCAGCTGCCTCCTGCACATCCCCTACCGGGGATGTGCCCGCAACCAATGTACATGCCCCTGACCGGAATCAAACTTGGAATCCTTCAATCCTCAGACCAATTCTCTATCCATTGAGCCAAACCGGTTTGGGCACATTTAAAATATTTTTTAAATCCACTATTTTAATAACTAGCAGACACTGAAAAGTATTATTGATAAAGAATAAAAGTCATACAGGGTGGGGCAAAAGTAGGTTTACAGTTGTGAGTACATGAAACAGTTTATTCTTGTATTATTATTTACTCATTATTGTATTATTTTTTATTCGCACAACTATAAGCCTACTTTTGCCCCACCCTGTATATACAAAATAGCATCACCTATCTCAATTGATTTCTTTTTTAAAAAAATATATTTTATTGATTTTTTTTACAGAAAGGAAGAGAGAGGGATAGAGAGTTAGAAACATTGATGAGAGAGAAAGATCAATCAGCTGCCCCCTGCACAACCCCCACTGGGGATGTGCCCGCAACCAGGGTACATGCCCTTGACCAGAATCGAACTGAGCCAAACCGGTTTGGCTCATTTGATTTCTTAATGTTATTTTATGTAGATAGTTCCTATCACTTACATGCTTAGCGACATTCAACTCCAAAATACTCTTCTTACAGAGCTCGTACTGAAAGGCCAGGAACATCCTTAATTAATTTGGAAACTTGTGGGTTAACTTCTACACTATAGACACAGACAACCACCACATTTTCAAGAACTCCTGTGAGACCAAACATCATCACCACGAGGAAAGGGGAGCCTTGAACAGGAGGTCAGCATGGAAGCTGAAAGGCTAAGGCACAAGCATGCATCTGCTGTCAGTGGCCCTCCATCTCCCTGCCAAAGAGAACACAAGTGAAAACAGGACCTCGTCATCAAACAGCCAGCACGATTTGGTAAAGCATTTTAGTAAGTGTTCATTACACAGAAGTCATACATTTCTTCAGCTTTCCTCTGTCAGATGATCCACCAACCATATTAGTTAATATTCCTTTTACATCCATTCATCAGAACAAAGCACTTAAGAAATCTTACTATTTTGACCTTCACAACATGCACTCCCTTTCCCTTTAATCCCAGAATCACCATTGGCTTCCTTCTGATTAAGCCAGAATTGATTCAGCCATGCATTTAGTTGGACACTGAAAGCTGAGGTAGGTGGACTGTCGTGGTCAAGTGAGCGTCATGATCAAGTACTTGGAAAGGTTTCCTTTCATTCCCAATGTCTTTCCAATGCACCGATAAAAAATCGAAATCTGCTGTGTCGTAAGTGAGGTAGTCCTAGGTTATATGTCAAGAAAGTAATACTATGGAGGATTTTTGTGAATGTATGGAAGTGAAGATGATTAATGTTCACTACTTAAATATTGATCACTTAAAAAAGGGCAAGCTAAGTAAACTACTACATATAGTAAACTACGAGGTAAACCACTATGTCCCAGATTTCAAGTTTTTAAAAAAATATATATTTTATTGATTTTTTTACAGAGAGGAAGGGAGAGAGATAGAGAGCTAGAAACGTCCATGAGAGAGAAACATCGACCAGCTGCCTCTTGCACATCCCCTACTGGGGATGTGCCTGCAACCAATGTACATGCCCTTGACCAGAATTGAACCTGGGACCTTTCAGTCCGCAGACCGACGCTCTATCACTGAGCCAAACCAGATTTCAAGATTTTTGAGTCAAAGAGATGGCAACGAATTGTTTCATGGGTCTTTATTGTCTCAGAAGGCGTCATCTGATAAAGTCCTCATTTATGGTAGTTCCGTAATTGTGCTTCTACGCTGTATTCCAGTTTCACATGTAGCTATAGGCCTCTGGCCCCTTAGTCTTAAGAACTGGAACCTGTCGCTCTCTAGTGCAGCGGCCGCCAGCTGGTGGCCTGTGGACCCCGGGTGGCCCTGAGGTCTGGAAGGTTGGCGACTGCAGCTCTCGTGTTTACAAAACAAACCATGATTAGCCTCTGCCAACAAGTAAACTAATAAACACGCTGCGGCTATGAAATAGCAGTGAGCGCAGGAACTGCTTATTGCTGTCCACCTCTGACTCTGCCCCTGAGCCTTTCTCAAACTCCACTCTAGACGGTCTTCTTACTTTCTTTACACCCAGCCATCCACAAACACCAGTGAGTAGAATATGAGCAGAATTAATGATTACAAGTAAAGTAGCAAGCCTGCCTTCAAGGGATTACCATGTCACCATTATGGATGACAAATTGTTTTGTTTGTTTTTTTGTTTTAAAAACAAAGCAAAAGGTTTGAGGTTTTGTTTTTTTTTTAAAGAGTTCATTAAACTATATGGATGATGTACTTTCCTATCAGCCAAGACAACACTCGTCTTTCAAATTAAAAATAATATAGATGTAAAAAGGCGCTTACTTTTCACAAAAAAAGCAATGACTTTTCATCTACTATAGAAAGTGCTCCTTCATGTTTATGCCAGCAACAATAAAGTTTTCAGTGTTAGAATTTTTTTAAAGAGTTTAAGAAAGTTTTCAATACTCAATTTGTTTACATATTTAAAAATTGGAGCTAATTAAATTTTCCACTTGTACCTCTAAGCTCACCAAGTGTGGCCCAGCCTAAGGCAGGTCCGTTGGGAACTGCATCCCAAAGGCTCACTAAACCCAAGGCATCCTCCATGATGTGCTCTCAGGACTAAGATTTAGCGGAACTTTAAAGAGCAAAAGCAAAGTTAAAAAATGAGTCCTCCAGAAACATTCTTGCTAAGAACCTGACAATCTTTTCTCTCAAAGCGTTTACCTTAAACATTTAAGTAAAGTTTTATAGGTTAACACCAAAGATGCCAATTACATGAAACTTGTTTCCCCCCACATTTTCATCGCATAATTTTAAAATGTTTTCATCGTAGACCATTCGAAACTCAAAGTTGACAACCGAGAGCAAGCCACTGTCCAGGTCACACAAATTGAATGGGACTCCAGCCTCCGTCACCACAGGGACCAGAAATATTGCAGTTGAGCAGTGAGTAGAATTAAGCAAGAATGTTAATGGACTCTTAGGCAGCTGTTTTGAAGGACAGGAGGAAGTAAAAGGGAAAAAGGATGATAAGGATAAAGATAATAGGAAAAGAGTAAAGATCGTTTACTTTACAACTAAGTGTACATTTACTTTAAAAAATGTGAGAAGTTGAAGCTACAATAATAGCATTAAAGGTTTCTCAATACTTAGGCTGAGCCCAGGTGATAGTCTGCAAGTATGAATAATCAGATAATATATGAACCATGACATGCAAACGAGGCCTTGTTTCTGTTTTATGAATAGAATCGGAAGATTAATGCAATCACTATGCAATTTTCAGTGGAAATTACAAGTCTTGTAGTAGGGCTGTACAGTAAGCACTGCAACTGTGATCAAAGATATGTACAAATTTTGAAGTATCAATAACCTGGGTGGGTTTATTACTGAAATGGATGGATCCCAACAATATCCACTGCAATAAAATTTAACCAAAACATTTCTGGAAGATCTTTCGGTATCTGTCACCTGTGTATCTGACCCAGTTTCTGTAAAGACGAGTACTAATTGCTCCCCTTCTTATGTAACTGCTGGCCTCAACTGCAAGGACCTTTCTAATGTGAGAATTTGCTTAGTCCTATCAGAATTAGGATGATGTGCTAAAAAGTAGAGTTCTGATTCTATTCTTTTTTTCTCAAAAAAGTGTCTGAATTGAACAAAAAAAAAATTTAGGCCTGCCTGGTCACTTTATTACAATAGTAATACTTCAGAAATTGGAAAGGATTTACTTTAACTAAAAGATTAAAGTAATATTTCTTTGTCTGAAACATGAATCTTTATGGATATTAGTATTTTTCATTTTTTTAGTTAATAGAACTTTTAAAATATTTTATAGCAAATATATTACTAAATTTGCATTTTATGGAATTTATCATTTTACCTTTTATACTTTTTCTTTTTAAGTTATATTACAGCACAGTACTCTATTATTGTAGAGATTTCTTGGTGTTATAGATCCTGTTCGACTCATTGCATTAGACTAGGGGTGTCGAACTCAATCAGAGAAGGGGCCAAAATCTAAAATCCAGCCTAAATCGCGGGCCGAATGGTTTACTGAACAGTCATAAACTGTCATTGTGATGGAAACGCAGCGGAGTGCAGTGATGACAGCGCGGTGCGGGCCACATTGCAAGGCCTGGCGGGACGGATTTGGCCCGCAGGCCTTGTGTTTGACACATGTGCATTAGACTGAAAACTACATACGTGTAATATGTGTGCAATATTCTGAGATCTAAGTTTTATTATAAATATTAAGTCACTTTGCTCTTTTATTATGAGAACTAACAAAGCAGATCAAGTCTTTGAGTTTCAGATTATTACATTTTATTTACCCCTAAAATTAGCCAAATTTTGAAAGGAAAAGCACTTTGGAGATCTTTTCAGAGTAAATATTCTATTTTAGAATTATTCTTTCTGTAAAATTGTAGGTGGGAGTACTAGGAGTCTTATAAAAACTATAAAAAATATAATGGCAGGAATGATTATTGGTCTTAGTTTTATGTTTTTGCTGATCTCAAAAGCACTGATAATGAGGAAATTATGTTTTTATAACTGGGCATGAGTAAATGAAAACCAGAACATTTATTACATTATCATTTCTAAGTCATTTTCTAAAAATTTAAAATAAGAACATAAAAGGGCAGTGTGTTCAGATGTAGGGTTTTTCATTTTCTTTGTAACAGAACCATCCAAAAAAACAAATTACCTAAGTTCCTGAATATGAAATATGGACATATTTGAAGGAGTAAGTTGCAACGGTGTGTATGGCCACAACAAGTTGTTGAACGTCTTCACAATCAAAATTACTTAAATCCTATTAAAAGATTCTGCATTTAGTGTTTATACACTTTGAACCTTCAAGGCTGCAGATAAGAAAGTTGATTCTGAAAGGAAAATTATTGTGTTTTCTTGATGTTGAATGAACAGCCTCACTTTCCTCCCACCTCCTGGTCCCCATCAAGTCTAAGTCCAGATGCTTTCTAGGCATCTCCATCCTCAACTAGAGACAAGGAATGGAAGTGCTTTGCCTTTCAGAAGCAATAGGAGCTGAAAAGAAAAGTAAGGACATAATACACTTACTTTCTTCCCTCACAAAGAACTTAGAAACAGGTGGATCCTAGAAGTGCTTCAGAAAAGGACAACATTCGTCCTGGCCAGGTGCCATCCCTATACGCCAAGGTTGTGGGTTCAATCCCCAGTCAGGGCACTTACACGAATTAACTAATGAGTGTATATAATAAGTCAAACAACAAATTGATGTCTCTTAAAAAAAAAAAAAAAAAAAGACAACATTCTTCCCAGATGAACAAGCTACATTTGAAGAAGATCTAATAAACATCCATATTTAAGATTTAAATATACGTTGCATCTTATTAATTCTTACACACCTCAATAAGAAACAAAAATGTATAATTTCAGGGATTAGGAAAGTGTTCCTGCTTTTTGTAGATGAGCATGGGTCATGACATGATTTGATTGTAATTTTAGATACTTACACTCTAATAGCTTACTTTCAATTGTCTGTGTATAAATAGAAAAATGTACTAAGCATGTTAATGGGGAACACACTAGGAGAAATACACACAAATGCAAATTTCTGCCAGAAAGTTTTGGAAATGTAGTTGTTTCTCTTTATAAATGCTTCTAACCTTTCACAATCCATTACTTTCATAAACCAATTTGAGCAACTGTATCTATCAGAAATAGATATTTTCTTTACAAACACAAAGATTTTTTCCCCCCACTGTGCCTGAGACTGCAACTTGACAACATGTTCAATATGGCTATGTTTAAATATCGGGTCCCAGTGCTAACAAATTCAGAAGCCAGAAATATTTTTTGTTAAAACTGCCAGAGTATCTTTCATTCATTCTGTTTTTCTTTATTGTTATAATTTAAACAAATTCAGAAATTTGGAGCATTTCTGGCTACTCCAGTAAAACATACTGCAAAGCCAAAGGGAATAAACGTAAATGGGAGAAATGCCAGATTTTTTAACTGCTCTGCTCTTATGACCAGGAATCTCACATGCTGGATCTGAATACATTGCTAGCATTTGCTCCAAAAAGATCTCTGACACTAGAGCAAGTCAGAACCCCTTCATGTCAGGACCAATTTAATGGCAGGCAAAGCAGCTTTCACACACACTTGAGGTTTAGGTAAATAGCACATTATCTAAAAGCCAGACTTAAATTTTGTAAAAAGTCTCCAAATAGCAAAAGAAATTAAAATCTAGATAGATACCAGAACTAAAAACAGCATGTGAGACAACAAACAATATTTCCAGTCAAACCAAATTACAACCTTTTCAGTATAGCTTGAGGTATTCTTAAATATTTGTAGGAGCTAAATAGCTTTCACAGTTTCCAAAGTTGCTTTCTACGGAGATAGGTCAAATTCTCATTATATTTAACTTTCAGAGATGTTTTCATGGACCAGAGTCTGTCCTCAGGCTCATGGAAATGTCAGCTATTCGGTGGCAAAAAATGGTTCTTGTAGTAATAAATGTCCGATTTCCCATTATTGTGCTATCCTTAGGATGTGATTACAAAAATAATTTGCAATTTATATAAAAGGAAACCTGCTTAAACTTCAGAAAGCAAATCCAGTCTGGTGGAGGTATAGAAGACATTAAATAACAGAGTCAGATTCTTTCTTCACGATTCCAGATGAACTTGACAGAGAGTTCTGGTTCCCCAGCATTTTCTCCAACTTTTCTCCTCCTGTGGTTTTATCCATCTCTCTTTGCTTCTTACTATGGATCCATGGGATAAAGCAAAGGACTGCGCCTCCAATAAGGGGAGGGACTCCAGCGAGATAGAATGCCACATCATAGGAACCCAGCTTCTCACGAAGTAACCCTGCGAAGGGAGGAAACGGTCACCAGAAGAAAACAGGTGGTGCCCTCAGGGTCTCTGATCAGTCACAGTGGCGGCCTGCCTAGTTCCAACCTAATGACTTCATCTCAGCAGAACTAGTTCAAACATCTCAGATTATTAAACACTAGGCGCCCGGTGCATGAAATTCGTGCACTGGGGGGCGGAGGGGGGGGGATCTCCTTAGCCCAGCCTGTTCCCTCTCACATACTGGGAGCCCTCAGGGAATGTCCTACTGACAGCTTAGGGCCCCTCCCCTTTGTGGGAGACAACTGGGCTGATCAGGGAAGGCACCAGCCCCACCACGCCGCTGCTGCAGCCACTGCCAGTCACTGCAGCCACCAAGGTGTTTTCATCAACACAGACTCCATCCAGTCCCTTCACCAAGAAAAAAATGACAACTGTCTTTAGGCATTTTCAAGATGTGTTTTTGATAGGATATGACATTTCTTTTTCTTTTATCCTCACCCGAGGATAAGTTTCCATTGACTTTTAGAGAAAAGAAAAGGAAAGACAGAGAGAAACATCAAAGTGAGAGGAACACTTTGATTGGTTGCCTCCTGCATGAGCCCTGACCTGGACCCAGCCAGGGAGGAGCCTGCAACCTAGGTACATGCCCTTGATCAGAATTGAACCAGACCCTGCTGTCGGCAAGCCTAGGCATTATCCACTGAGTCAAACGGGCTAGGGCAGGATATGACATTTCTTAGTCCTCCAACAGCGGACCTTTGTTTTTTTTCTCCAGGAGTGTGATGGAAAAGACCTAGATCACCTTTTTGGATTCTTATATCCAAGTCACTAAGAATATTACCAGTGGCATACAGGGAGCTTAGCCAACGAGCGGTCAGAAAAGGTGTTTCCTGGGTAGTTCACATCTATCTCTTCCAATCTCCGGCTCCGACCCTGCCAAGGCCTAAAGCCTCCAGCCCTGGGCAGGGAACCCCAGCTGGCTCGATTGCCCAGCTCTACTTCCGGCCAAGGCCTCAAGCCTCTGGCACTCTAACAAATCCTAGGGTTGTGTTTCTGAACCTGTTATTTAGCATACTCCTTGAATCTAATTTATCTAACATACTCCAATTTTTAATTAGTTATCTTACTGTTTTTAAACTTTTAAAAAATATTTTCATTAATTTCAGAGAGGAAGGGATAGGGAAAGAGAGAGAAACATCAATGATGAGAACCATAGATTGGCTGCAATGAATTGAGCTGAACTTTAACTGAGTCCTTCACATGCCAGAAATAGAGGACAGTACATACAATTAAATTTTATCAAATTTTCTTATCATAAAAATTCACATTAGCACCCAAGTAATACTGAAATAAGAAATCTTTATACTATCATTCAGAAGATTTCTAAAGGTGAAATTTACGTAACATAAAATTAACTATTTTAATGGCATTTAGGACATTCACAATGTTATGCAACCACCACCTCTATCTAGTTCCGAAATGTTTTAATTACACTAGAACAGAACTCCAAGCCCATTAAGCAGTTATTCCTTTATCCCCTTCCCTCTGGTCCCTGACAACCACACATCTACTCTCTGCCTCCATGGACTTACCTACTTTGGATGTTTACATAAATGGAATCATTTAATACGTGGCATTTTGTATTTGGCTTTTTGTAGCACACAAAAAACTAGTAACTAGTAAATTATACATTTACATATAAGTGAGACTTTGGACCTGTAGTAAAAAATGCTATGAATTAATATAATTACTGGAGAATAATTACAGTTACCTGCAATGGGTGGGCCCACAGTCATGGGTATAGACATGAAACCGAGCAGAAATCCAATTGCTTGGGAAACATCCTGGGCACCGACTAACTCAAAGGCAATGGGGGCCATAATTGAAATGAAGCATCCATCGAAGAGGCCCATGATGAGACAGACAGCGATGAGGGCCCCAAAGACGCTACACAAGGGAATCATCATGGACATCAGACCAATGAATACAAAGGAGAGCACCTAGGACAGACACCACATGTCAACTCCGCTGTCAGGAAAAGTGAATTTTACAATCACTGAGCAATACGTTTAGAACTTTTAAGAAGTCACTGCTTAGTCATCTCCCCAGCCCCATTCACCTTGATTTTACACACATAATCAACTTCCTTAATCAACTCCCGGAGTTCCCTTAGCACTTTCTCAGTATTTCCATGAAAGCCATAATTTCCAACCTTTTTCATCTCACAGCACACCTAAAATAATTACTAAAATTCAGTGGCACACCAAAAAAAATTTTTTTTTTGACAAAAAATAGTTGTAATTTTGGTTCATTCACACGATGCCTGTTGTTGTGTTGGTTGTTGTCATTTTTGTTGTTGTTGTTGTTAATCCTCACCCAAGGATATTTCCCCAGATTTTTTGAGAGAGAGTGAAAGGAATGGGGAGAGACAGAAACATCGTTCTGAGAGAGACACATCAATTGGTTGCCTCCCACACCGGTCCCGATTCGCACTGGGAATTGAGCCTGCAACTAAGGAATGTGCCCTTTACTGGAATTAAACCTGAAACCCTTCAGTCCTTGGCCAACACTCTATTCAAACTGGCTAGGGCTGTTGTCATTTTTTTAATGGACAGTCTAAGTGAAAAGAAGTCAGTGCCCTAAGTAGTCAGGTATTACATGTTTTATTTATTATTATTATTATTTAAATATGTTTTTATTAACTTGAAAGAGAGAGGAAGGGAGATGGAGAGAGAGAGAGAAACATCAATGTGAGAAACATCATTCCGCTGTCTCCTGCACGCCCTCTACTGGAGACTGAGCCAGCAACCCAGGCATGTGCCCTGACTGGGAAGCCAACAGGCAACCTCTTGTTCATGGCCTCATGCGCCATCAGCTGAGCCACACTGATAGGGCAGGTATTGCATGTTTTAAAAATTCTTGAAAATTACTGTAATGAAGAAACCAGAGGAAGTATTTTTCCCTCCCAGCCTGTAAGCTCTTTGAAGTCAGAATCAGTACAAGCCACCTTTGAATTAGATATTTACAAGGTTTAAAGACCTTGCACCTGGTCATTGCTTAATAAATATTATTTCTTTATGCCCTGGCTGGTTTGGCTCAGTGGATAGAGTGTCGGCCTATTCACTGAAGGGTCCCAGTTTGATTCCAATCAACAGACACCATCTCCAGTAGGGAGCATGCAGGGAGGCAGCCAAGCACTGATTCTCTCTTATCATTGATGTTTCTCTCTCTCCCTCTTCCTTCCTCTCTGAAATCAATAAAATATATTTTTTAAATGATAAATTAAAAATAAATAAATTACTAGTTATTTGAATATCAGCTCAAATTCATTCATCAAACATTTGATTCTAAGCCCTGGCCAGGTAGCCCAGGCAGTTAAGAGTCTGCCAAGAATGCAGGTTCAATTCCTCAGTCATGGCACATACAAGAATCAACCATTGGCCGAAACCGGTTTGGCTCAGTGGTAGAGCGTCGGTCTGCGGACTGAAGGTCCTGGGTTCGATTCCGGTCAAGGGCATGTACCTTGGTTGCGGGCACATCCTCGGTAGGGGGTGTGCAAGAGGCAACTGGTCGATGTTTCTCTCATTGACGTTTCTAGCTCTCTATCTCTCTCCCTTCCTCTCTGTAAAAAATCAATAAAATATATTTTTTTTTAAAAAGAATCAACCAATGAATGCATAAATAAATGGGACAACAAACTGATGTTTCTCTCTCTGTGGGTGTGTCTCTCTCTCTCAAAATTGGTAAAATAATTTATTTTTAATTTTATCTTTAAAATTACATATACTTTATTGTTATTAAATAAAAATAAAGAATTATTATTTTTTTATAATAATAATTAATTATTATTAATTCAGTGGGCAACCAATGAATTTGTGAATGGATGGAATAACAGGTTGATATTTCTTTCTCCCTCTCTCCCTCTCTTCTCTCCTCTCCCTTTAGGATATCAATTTTAAAATATTTTTTAAAAAAGAAAAAGCTGAAAGTTTTGTCATGCAACAAATGTCCTTTAGAGGGCTCCCTTGACACTTGAGAAAACAAGACCAAATGTTCTGCTCAATGTTTGACCAGGATATCCACAGTTAGGTAATAATAAAAGGGGGGATGGTCAGAGTACGATAAATACTTTTAAAAGTAGCACTGCCCCACACTTCCTTCTAGCTGTGTTCGCAGACTCCGTCCTGTGGCGTCTGCCTGGACCTGCACAGACAGCCACGGTCTCAGAGTCCACCTCTCCCCGTGGAGGTGACATCACCTTCCTCCCAGGGCAGGGCGAAGAGTAAAGGAGACAATGCATCGTGGAGGTGCTCAGTGTGTGGTGGTTGGTATTGCTTCACGTCAGTTAATGAAGTTCTTCTGTGTGTGTTACATACATGAGCGCGCTCTGCCTCCTGGCGCCCCCGTGAGTGAGTGAGTGACATCCGCAGCGTCCTGTCCTCAGCAGCCCTGCCCAGCTCCTGTGGACGCCTGCCTGTGGCTTCTTTTAGGGAGTCAATCCACCTCATGTTTGGTCTTTCTCTTTATGTTTCCTGTTTTTCCCAGCATTTCTGTCTTTTCCAAAGGACCCTGCCTTCCCATGATGCACCGAAAGTAGGAGAGCTTCAGTTTTGCCATTTTTGCCTCTAGCTATGTTTCCGGCTAATTTGCTCTAGGACCCATTTGTCTTCCTAGTGGTCCAAGGTATCAGGAGAGCTCTTCTCCAACACCATATTTCAAATGAATCATTTTTTTTTTTCCTATCAACCTTCTTCACTGTCCAACTTTGTATCCACACGGTAAATTACCTTTCTATGCCTTTTCCAATCACTCTCCCGTGCCCAAATTCCAGCGCTCCTTCAAGGCCCTCCTCCTCAAATACTGCCTCTCCTCTGCAGAGTGAGCAGATATGCTCAGTCCCCCACCCCGGAGCCCCTTTGTGGCTCTCCTTTACCTTCCTGCCACAGCCAAGCTTGTGGGCAAAGTTGTCTAAATTTCCATTTATTCAACTGATGATGATCAGGCTTCAAACATTGTTTCCCAGACATAATATACTCCATTACACTTTCACCTCTTTGCACATATGGTTTCTCCTGCCTGTCCTTATCTGTCTGATTTTCACCATTTAATACTCTGCCAGCCTAGGAGGCCTGCTCACACCCCCATGAGTGATCCAGATGCTTGGCGCCTATGTTGCTATGGCACCCATCTAGCATACATATATTCCACTGTGCTATAACACTTATCTGTCTTACCGTGATACCACTGGCTACTAATTGAGGGTACAGATCATGTTTCATCTGTAGCATATAACAGTGTCTGGTATGGAGGAGTCACTTAAATACTTGTCAGAGGAGGTCCATATGCTCTTAGAATTAGCATTTGTTAATTCTAATTACTCCACAATACCCAGAGGCAATTTCAAATAAGGAAGCTCAAAAAGCAAACATGCACACCCTTGAATTTCACAAGATATTGCAAAAGGCACATGACTATAAAAACTATGCCAAAACCACAATTCTAAGAAAAAGGAATGGGCAACAAAACATTTGGATTCGGTAGAGTTCTGTGGCAAAACAAAGAAGGTTGCTGCTTGATGGCCCATTTTTCATATTGAAAACCCAAAACTCATAACTGATTTTGCCCTTGAAAAACTGCTAGAAGTTAGGTTCTAGAAAATAGTCCTCATTTTTACAGAAGGATTTGAGCAAATACAGACATACAACGAGACTCGAGGCGATGGGATACTTTTGCTGGGGGACAGGACTAACGAGAGTACCTGCAGGTAAACCTTCTTCACGCCAGGCACGTAGTCTGCGATCCGGCCGAAGAGCAGCCGGCCCACTCCCGAAGTGATGCCGATGCACATGAGCACCACCTCCTTGTTGGGCTCGTCTTTAAACCTTTCGTTCACGTATTTCACCTGCAGACCAAAGAGAAGGCGGCCACGCTGAGTATGGCGGGAAAACAGGACAGGTCTTGAAGCACGGCGCAAATGCCTTTGGAGCTCTACAACGTTATGGAATCTCAGCCCCTTGTAGCTTCAAATATTTATAAAAGTGCTCTGTCAGAACATATGAAGAACAGCTAACGTGATTTAGTGTGCATGAAAGAAATGAGAATTTTTATAAGGTCTTTTTAAATTGTAAGGAAGGGACCTGGCCGGTATGGCTCAAGGGTAGAGCATCGCCCTATGAACTAGGAGGTCAAGGGCTCATGCCCGGTTGCAGTCTCGATCCCCAGTGTGGGGGGTGCAGGAGGCAGCCGATGCATGTTTCTCTCTCATCATGGATGCTTCTCTCTCAATTCCTCTCTGACATCAATAAAAATATTTTTAAAATAAACAAATTTGTAATGAAGGGTTACCAACACACGCTTTGTAAGCGAACATTGATCCGTGCGTTAGCCAAAGGAAGAGAACAGCCTTGTGAACACAGCACACAGCCTTGCTCTCTCAAGGTCACCCGAGGATCCAGCACATTCTCTCCTCCCCTGGAAGGCAGCTTAGGGACCGAGGCTGGAGTTTCAGCTCCTCGAGGAGGGCCTGAGTCAAACTTCCAGCCCTGGAGTAAGTGGTACTGGAGCTTCCGGGATAAAAGCATAAGGTTCTCTACCTGCGAATGTGCCTATTTCTGTGGCCTTAGGATTCGGAGGCAGTTTAACAGTGTTGAAAAGAAAAGACTCCAGAGAGACTGCTTGGCTTCAAGTCTTGGTTCCATCTCTTATCAGCCTGGGAAAGTTCTTAGCCACCAGGACCTGGTGAATGGAGACAGCAATAGTACTTCCGGAGGGTAGCTATAATTATCAAATATCTGTAGGAAGAACTTAGAAGAGTACCTGACACACAGCTAAGAATGATCAGGTAGTAGTTTTAGCCTAATTATTTTAAAGGGGCCTTTTCCTTTCATTTACAGTCTGCTTAGAACAATGACTGAGCCAACAGCCTGACACTGTTTAAGAAGGCAGTGTGACCAGGCAGGTGTTACACTGGGTGACAGCACACAGCTCGGGCACAGCCAGAGTTTGACAGTTTCACATTTCGCCCCACCTCTCTTAGCATTTCCATTCTCTTCATGATCATCTATCTGTGCTCACAACAAGGAGAAAAAGCACACTGTGCTTCTACTGAGATGTTACAACAAAACACAAACAGCTGCTTCAAACAACCAGACTCCCTGCGCCCCTAACCAGACACTGGCCTGGATTCTGGGAGCCTGCAACGCAGATTTCCCAGCAAGTTCAAAGGCCCACACAGCTCCCACGTGGCACCAGCAGCCCTCCTGGATGACATCCCCTTAAGAGACTTCCAGTTCACGTTTTTAGCCTCCGTGGTTATGCCAACCCATCACATCTGTCTTTTCGCTTTCAAAACCGGTAACTGCTCTCCTGTATTTCCACACTGGTCCAGAATAATCCTCCTACCTATGGCTTGATCTCATCAATCCCTTATTCACCAGTTTCCTGATGCCTACATTTATACTCCTTAGTTGAGCATTAAAAGCCCTCCTTGATCTGTCACCAATCCACCTTTGTACCTTGATTACCTACCAACCCTTGACTCAGAAGTGGAGTAAATACCCAAATGTAATACCTGCAGCACTCAGGCACAGTGCATGAAACCGGCTGCTGGAGAGGGGCGTATGCCCGCAGAGGACCGCCAGTGCTGCCGAGCTACCTCCCAGCCCCCTTTTGTTTTAAAAAGAGCAGAAATCTGGACTTTTGTGTGCAAGTGCTGGCACCTGACTGAAATTAGAACGCCACATGATCCAACCCCACCCAGGCAAGCCAAACAAAACATGTCTGCAGACTGCATTAGGCCTGCTTTGATCTCAGCCCTAACCCATCTGGCCCAGCAGGACGGGTCTACTCAGTGTCTGAAACATTCTGACCTCACTACATTTCTGCTGCCTCTTCTACCTTCTCTGACTTTCTAAATTCTATCCACTCTTTAAGAGGCCGCTTGAACCCCCCCCCCCCCCCTTTTCTATAAAGCTGCCCTTGATCGCCTCAGCCTCACACCCCCTTCTTGTTAACTGCCTAAAGTTTTCACTGGCACCTTAAGTACTGGGTTCCTTCCCAGCCTGTGTAGCTTCTAACTCTAAGTAGACTCCAGCAAACTCTTCCCTGTCAAACTGGACATATCCACCTGACTGTGACAAAAGTACCTCAGGGTCAACATGCCCCATGCTGCACTCAGGTCCCCTTACAGCCTGTTCTCCTTCCATGTCAGTTAGCACTGCTGCCGTTGGCCCAACTACCCGAGGTAGGAACCTGGTAACTATCCTAGATTCCTCCCTCCTTCCCTCCCTCTCTTCAAATCCAACAGTGACCACCCAATTCTGGTGGTTTGACCTCCTACATCTCTGTCAGCCCATGTTCCCCACAATGTTTATTTTATTTTTTATTAATTTCAGAGAGGAAGGGAGAGGGATAGAGAAACAGAAACATCAATGATGAGAGAGAATCATTGATCCGCTGCCTCCTGCACGCCCCCTACTAGGGATTGAGCCTGCAATGGGGCATGTGCTCTGAACAGAATTGAACCCAGGACCCTTCAGTCCATACCCCGACGCTCTCCACTGAGCCAAACCAGCTAAGGGCGAACCAGGTTCTTATCACTCCTCACCTAGACCACTGCAACAGCCTCCTAACAATGCTTCTTGAACCTCACTCCTAAATCTCTAGCCTATATTTTCTCAAACCATCAAGTTAAGTTCTCTACCCAAGATCCTTTTACAGCGCCCATAACCTTCAGGGTAAAGTTCAAACTCTTGGCTTGACAGATAAAACTTTCCTCCTTTGCTACTGCAGCCTCACCTTCGGCTGACTCCTCATATTCTCCGTGTTAATTAACACTGTGTTGTTCAACATGGCCTGAGTTATTAAGTATTTTAAATGTGGCTAGTCAAACTGGGATGTATTGTAAGTGTAAAACACACAGCAAATATAGAACACTTGGGATGGGGGGACACGCAAAATATCTCAATTTAAAAATATTGATTCCATGTTGAAATAGTATTTTTGGCTATATTGATTAAATGAAATATGAACTTTTTTTTTTTTACTTTTTAAAATATGGGGAAGGGGGTGGGGGAGGTAGAGAAGGGGACAGGGGTAATAAATGGCGATGGAAGGAGACTTGGTGGTGACACAGAATACAGTGTACAGATGATATTTTGTAAAATTGTGCACAAAATTGTATAATTTTGTTAACCAGTGCCAACCAATAAAGTCAATAAAAAGGAAAAAATAAAATATGGCTACTAGAAATTTTTCAATTCCATATGTGGCTTGCATTATATTTCTATTGAACAATGTTGGTCTAAGTAAGAAATCTACTTGTAGCTGCAAAGATAAGACAGCTGTCAATAAAAGACCCCAAACTGGCTTATTCCTCTGAGCCCTTATTACTGCCCATAGGTGAGATATTTGATAAAGTAGAAAGAGATGGATTCCATCTCAATTCTGAAGAAAAAGCATCACCTGATCTAAAGCAGATGGGATAAAATTAAGTGTGTTCATTGGTTTTATTTGGAATTTGAATCCAGACTCTACTGTTATTAACCAACTTCAGGCAGCACCCAAAGGATCTATTCTAACTTTTAAAAATTACTTTTATTTAGCCTAAACTGGTTTTGCTCAGTGGATAGAGTGTCAGCTTGCGGACTGAAGGGTCCCAGGTTTGATTCCAGTCAAGGGCATGTACCTTGGTTGCGGGCACATCCCCAGTGGGGGGGTGGGGGGGGTGCAGGAGGCAGCTGGTCGACGTTTTTCTCTCATCGACGTTTCTGACTCTATGTCCCTCTCTCTTCCTCTCTGTAAAATATCAATAAAACACATTTTTTAAATTATTTTTATTTATTTCAGAGAGAAGGAAAAAGAGGGATGCCGAGAACCACTTCCAGCATGTAATAATGACAAGAGTTTTACCAAAAGGTTGGTGAAGCTTGGGGAGCTCAACAGGACGGAGTCATATGTAGCTTACCTGTTGGAAACGCTACAAAGAGTCTCTCCCAAACCTGAATGGTATCATCTGCTGCCAGATAGCTCAGGGCATTTTGTTGCCTCCTGTTGGCCAAACACCTGAGCAGCCGTAGGCTATTCCCAAAACCTACAATCTCTGTAAGCCCTTTGATACCATATCCTTTGAAGTGTATATCTCCACCTTGCCTTGGGACAAACTGTGTTTAATAAAAACCTGGGTCCTTGGTCAAGGAGAGTCTTCTAGCTCCTTCAGCTGGAAGCTCCTCTGACTCCCAATGCCTCTCAAAAATATCTTTCATCCACAGACTCCTTCTTAATCATCTACACACAGCCCTTTCTCCAGAATGCTGAACCTTTGTAAGGCTGGGGGAAAGAACCCTGGCAGAGGGAGAGAGAGAAACATCAGTGATGAGAAAGAATCCTTGATTGGCTGCCTCCTGCACACTCCTTACTAAGGATTGAGCTGCAACCCAGACTTGTGACCTGACCAGAAATCAAACCATGACCTCCTGGTTCATAGGTTGATACTCAACTACTGAGCCACATTGGCCAGGCTCCCTCCACATTATCAAGGGGTTGGGTGGTTTTTGCATAACGTCTTGTATATAATGTTTATGTAATTTATTACATTGCAAATATGATCAAAACATTGGAGCATACAAGTTAAACTACAGGCATACTCTGAGGTATTGTAGGTTTAGTTCCAGGTTACCACAATAAAGCAAGCATCCCAATAAAGTGAGTAGAAATCTTGTCTTCAATTTGTAAAAAAAAAAAAAAAAAATCACCACAGCAACTATAAAAGCAGTGAGCATCATAATAAACAAGATATACCTGTATATATCTTTGGTTAATAGTAGTTCAAAAAAAGGGGGGAACTGAGAGAGACTTCAAACAAATATAGCTTTCTTTCTTTTCTCTCTCTCTGCCTTTCTTCCT